GCCCCCGGGGAGTGTGGGCAGCTTCCAGTGCCTGTTTGACCTCTGTGCCCAGCTGGGCACAGGGGAGACACCAGGAGCCCCCTCCCCCACTCCCATGAAGCTGTCCCGTCCCAGTGGCCTGGAGGATGGCTCTGTGCTGTCTTCTCTCCACCCTCCTGAATTCCTCCACTGACCCCCAGCTGATGCCCACCGCGGCATCCCCACCCCTCCTGAGAGCCTCTGCCTCACCGGGTCCCCTGCACACCTTGGGCGAGGTTTCCAGTGTCGGCCAGCGGATTAAAACGTGAGCAAAGGCCACGAACAGCTCGCTCCGTGAGTGCAGGTGGCTTTTAGCCATGGTGTCCTGGCGCCGCGCCCCCTCCACCAGCCAGCAGCGCTCGGTGAACCCCATCCTCCGAAACCAGAGCGGCTCCCCCCGGCCACCCCCTTGGGTTCCGCTCTCCTAGAACTCACCTCCCAGGCCTCGGTGTTCATGGGAGCAGTCAGGGGCCCCCCTTTCTTCTGATGAGAAAATTCTGACCCCGCCGGGAGTAGCGCCTGGTCCCAGGGCCCGTCCTTCCCACCGCCGCCTCCGATCCCTCCCACTCTCTCCTCTCGGGTCACACACCCACAGCCCTGGGTTATTTTTTCAGGCAGTGGAGTAGCAAATGCATTTGCGACAGAGTGTTTGAACATGTGTCCATGAAGTCTTTAGTTGACTTTGTGTAATTGAAAAATACAGTGGGTGTTTACACGTTGGCCACATGGGTCAACCTGCTCTGCGAGTGGAGAGCCCGCCCGGCCCCTGGCCGGCGTGTCCAGCTCCCCGGGCCCTGAGAGGCGCTGGAGCCGGGGCTGCGTGGTGCGGGGAGGCTGGCCTCACACCCGTGCTCGGCTGGGCAGCCCCAAAGGCAGGGGCCGTGCCCTCTCCTTCTTCCCACCAGCCACGCGTGTTCGGTCACAACCCCGGCGCAGCCACCAGCTGGGCCTCTCGGCCTCCCGGTCAGCCCGGCCAGGCCTGGCCGCTCCCTCGACGGCTGCCGCCCGAGCTGGAGAAGAGGCGTGAACTCAGGCTCTCGGCTCCCAGCCGGGCTGCGGAGGGAGCCGGCAGTGCTGATGGCACCGTGGCTCACACGCTGGTGCCAGCCCGGCGGTCAGAACCACAGGGGGCTGCGCCCTGACCGCTGACCAGGAGTTCAGGAGCCGCCTGCTGCTCTGCCCCCTCCCCTCATCTCCGAACCCGGGTGCTGAGGACAGGACAGCAGTGACGTTGATGAGGCANCAGCCCGGCGGTCAGAACCACAGGGGGCTGCGCCCTGACCGCTGACCAGGAGTTCAGGAGCCGCCTGCTGCTCTGCCCCCTCCCCTCATCTCCGAATCCGGGTGCTGAGGAGGACAGGACAGCAGTGACGTTGATGAGGCAACACCTACCTCACGGGAGGCACTTGAACCAGGACACAAAGCACCTAACCAATGGCACAGGGCACGGGGCACTGTGCTGCTATCCTCGGCGTGAACCCTGGACACCGAGTCCCGGCTGGGGATGGGCTCGTTCGCTTTCACGATACTGCCACTTGGCTGAGGAATGGCCGCAACCTCACCGGCACTGCTCAGGGTCTCACAGACACAGTCGAGGGGGCAAAGGAGCCACACACACCTGGGCTTGATTCCAGAGCATCTGCTGCAGCCCCTGGCACCTCTTTATCCCTCTGAGCCTCAGTTTCTTCATCTATCAAATGGGGTCAATAACCCCCACCTTCCAAGGTGAAAAGAAGATTTCAACGCGTTACTCGAGAGTGGGGCCCCACTCGTTGCCCACCCTCTCCCTCTGAACGGCCAATTGTATTAGGCTGGTGGCACCCAGACTTTTCCTGCGCATGTCTGTTTCCACATTTGCCTCCGCCTCCAGGCTGCAGGGCAGGGAAACTCGTCACTCACACTGAACGCCCCGGGCCCTGCACAGCCTGGCCCTCAGCAGGTGCCCAGCAGGTGCTCACATGGAGGACACGGGGCTGCAGGCAAGTAGCCAGGTGCCTCTCTTGGTCTTTGCTTTTGACCTCAGCATCGGTCAGACCCGTCACCTAAGGATGGAGCCCCCCCCATCCAATTCCAGCCCCAGCCTCATAGGACACTGTCCCCAGAGCTCCCCCTGACCTCAGGGACCCCTGCCCCCAGCCACTTCCCTGCCTGGCCCGCTGAGCAGGAGATAAAGTCACAAAGGAAGGTCACAACTCTCAGACACATCTATCTTTATTTGTTTCCTGTCAGAAAAATTCAAGAATTACACCAAAAAATACTTCAGCCTCTGCTACCTACTGACAAAAATACACCACGAAATTATAAAGCGCTCAGCGGTTTGGCTAGGGACGGTTCATTATTTGGCTTCAGATGACCAATGAATTTACAGGTGACTCTGGGTAATGGGGCCGAGGGGTGGGGAGGGAGGAAGAGTCAGATGATGGCGTCTGGCGGGACAATGGGAGCCGTGCTAGTCTTGGGACCCAGCTGCTGCGTACAGTGATCAGCGACAAAGCAAGCCACAAAAACGCCCTTTAAATGGTCCCTCAGAGCTTTGTGGGGAAACACATCTCAAATTGTCACCTCTCCAGCCAGGCCTGGCCCTGTGGGCCTGGAGCCGACACCCGGCAGAGCGGGTCTCCCCGAAATGTTTGCGGGGAGGGCCGTGGGTGTGAGTGCCCACGTGGCCCAGGGCAGGGTAGGCCTGACCAGGGCTGGCGCAGCCTCCTTGTCAAGAGCTTCTAGAACCAGCTCCGGGAGTTTGGACGGGTGTCCCGCCAACACCAGGGTCGCATATTGCAGCTGGTTTTAAAAACGAGCTCGCGGTGCTGCGGCCCCACCTTCGAGCCTCCCCGCTCCCCCTGAGCTTCCCGGTTACGACTCCTACTGTTTTCCTCATTGTTATTAGCACTTTGGGAAACAAACAACGCAACAAAAATTTAAAAATCGGTGCCTGTGCTTGTAGCTTATAGCGTGGCCAGAGTCACACACCCGTCCTGTCCTGCGTCCTTTCTGCAGCCTCTCCTCCTGTCCCCTCCGGCCCGGCCGTCTCAGGAGCGTGGGCAGATCCAGGCCTAGATCTAGAAACACCAGGAAAGACAAAGGAATCTGCGCGCTTCTCTGCCTGCTGACACCACCCTCACCCCGGCAGCAGGCTCGCAGCCGGTCTGTGCAGACTCCCGCTAACCCTGCAGGACGCACCCCTCTGGGCACGGTGGCCTTGCGCTGGGCTCCCTGCGCTCACTAACGTCCCAACCAGTCCTTCTGCCTGTCCCTCCCGTGTTCCGCCCTGCAGCCAGCGGCCAAGCCCTGCCTGTGTCTCCCGCCTGCGCCGCCGGGTTCCCCACCTCCCGGAGCCCGCACCGAGCCGCAGCTCATCTCACGGCCCAGAGGGTCCTCGCTGCCCCGCCACGCCCGCCAC